TGCACGAAGAAAAACTCGTGATTCGAAGCACACAGCTCAATCTTTTAAGTACCTTGAATGGATACGATAAATTAGTTATTTTCACAACAATCCAAAAAGTCAATTAAGTTTAAAGTAATAATAACTAATTATACACAATAAAAAACGCAAATGCAAATATATATTATTTCAACAAGTATTTTCTTTTAGATATAAATCGTTATAAATTTTAGAATTATGTACATATTCAAGTTGAATATTTCCTACACATCATATATTTTTTAGAAAAACTTTATGTTCAAATTGTACCAAGCATATTTAAACGTCTCTATTTTTATTCACATTTTTTTTTATTTGCATGTCATTAATAATTTGCGATTTATAATAGATGAATTTTTCATTTTATTGTAGCTTTACTATATTTTCCGTTTTTGCATTTCAAAGATAGAGAACCTTTTTTGATTTTTAAAGTTTGACCAGGCAGGTAGTGCAACCGTCGAAACGATCGATGTTCCCGAATAATAATTCGCGCGTCCCCGAAGATTCGACGGTTTCCCGACGTACAGTTCCGACAAATCGGTGCGGTTGAGCCTCCGGGAGTACCGGGACGACCATAAAGCTCCTTGCCACGGGGTGAATCGAAGCGCGGCGTCCGCGATGTAAATCTATGCATAGCTTTTGTTCCCCCGACATATGCGCGCCGCTCCGTCCGCAAAAGTTTTCTTATTGCTATATCCGAATACAGCAAAGGTGTAGTAGGGGGGGGGGGGGAAAGAGATGGTACCTTTGTCGCTTTGCTCTTCTCTTCCGCGTAATCTGGCAATCGCTCAATTTACATGAGATGCAGAAAAGTTTTTGGTAAAAAAAAAAAGAAAAAAAATACGACTATTGATTTGTCTTAATTTGAGTTTCTATCAAGAATTGCATTGCACTATTTATTTAATAATTTTTATTTAACACACAAGGTATATTGTAATGAATTTATAATTTTGAACTATTTAAATGTTATAATGTTTCAACTATTTAATCAATTACGGCTGTCAAATATATATATACAATTTTTTATCAACTATATAACTTTGGCATTATTATATTACATTATTTAATAATACCAAACATGTCTTTTACTGGTATATTATTCTACATAATAAATTTAGCACACGTATTATATTACTGTTAAAATTATCACATGCTTCATCGAGTAATTAATAAACTCTAATTGTGAGCAAAATATGTTCAATTTGTGGAAAATAAATATGCGATTCTATGGATTTACTAATTTTGCACAGGTAGAATAACTCCACGAAACGCTCATTGATCGCGCATGCAAATCACTATAAAGCTTAACTCTCTTTTTCTCGGCACAATAAAATAACAGATATTCCAACCTTTGAAGCGTGATTGAATTACTGGTTAAATCATCGCTTTCCAATTACCGCACTGACTGCGGAGTCAGTATCGTTTAGCGAACGTAAAACACGCGCCACTTTTAACATCGTAATGAGATTAAACGTTGTTACAAGTGCATAAACACATCCGATGCGCAAAAGGGGATAAAGCGCCGCTTAATCATATGCAATTAAATCCGGATAGCGTGAGTAGATAACAGAGTTTCAGCAAAAACGGTTTAACGTACCCGCTAATGAATTAAAGTCCAATTTCCTTCTTATACAAACAGCCTAACGATTGCTGGTCAGTATCATTGACAAAGATTAAACACATTAATCGCATGACGAAATAAATGACGAAATTTTAGAAAGAAAGCCATTAGTATGCCAACATACTAGCCAAATTGTATTCAAACTGCGAAAAAGTAATTTGCCCATCTACAATGCTTAATAAAGAGCTAAAATTATTCAATAAAAATAAAGTATGACAAATTGTTATCGCTTAATACGATCTATAACGCTGATAATGCATCAGATTTATCATAATATAACAATATATTTATTTTTATCAAACCCCAAGTTTATAGCAGTGGAACGTAATCTCTTAATATTTTCACGGTTGGTTCGTGAAAAATAAAATAAATGAATTTCGCGAGAGATCGACTTGAATATCCAACACAAGCAATTATAAAACGTCTCGCTGCGTGGAACTTCTTTTACAAAGCTCTTTTACAACGACTTTGTTGTAAAAGCTCCGGCAGGCATTTGAAATTACGTGTGCAGTTCTTAAAGACTTGGCTGAAGAAACACCGAGGCGGAGTCGTTAAACTTATCGTCGCCGTTAATGAGTAGGGACCTGTAAAGAGACAGCCAACAGCATTTATCTCTCGTCGTGGGTCTTTGTGACGCGGACTGCAATCAGCGGTGTGAAGGAGTTCGGTCTACAAACCCCTTACACGACTAACTTCGTTGCATCGACTTTCCTCCTTTATCTCACGCGCAAGAAATCTCAAAAGACATTCGGCATTCCGCGCTTAAGAGGATGCTGGAGTGCCTGACGAACTCCGACGCAAAAGCGTCATCATTTCGATGGAACTAAAAATTAGAGTGATATTATCGGCATAAGTCATAATCTAAGTATGAATGTATTGTGTATGCGTATGTGTGGTGCGTGTATATATTCGTATATTATTGTATAGCGCCTCTCTGATATTATCCTGGAACTAATCTTCTGTTATTTTTTCATCTGTTATACCGATATTGGACGCACACGTATGTAAAAATAGTCGGACAAGAATATTTTTTACATTAGACTTTTCAGCCCAATTTTAATGGTTCCATAACATTCTATTCTGCAGTCCGCAATTCGGGCTGCTCTTATTCAGCGTCTTAAAACTGTTAAACTTTTATAAAAAACGAAAATAGATAGCTCTATACAATATGTTATCCTAAGAGCAGAATAGAAATTAATAAATAGAAACAAATTTTGTTATTAATTCTTTTTTTCCAAATAAAGTCGAGCAGCCCGAATTCCGCTTTTGTGTACACTTTACTCCTGCAAAAGGATTTACAATTCTATGCAACCAATAAAAAGATATTCTTGTTCGAAAAAATATAATGTCCGGCCGGTAACTCCAGCATCCCCTTAAGAAACTTGCATCTTCTATGTAGACCATGTATTCCCTTTTGTTCTTTCATGCATCTAGTCGCTTCAGTCACGTCACGTCTTTAATCATCAAACGTGTAGAGGGTAGCCGAGTAAAACAAACTTTACAACTTCGACTGAGACCTTTGAAAGACGACGCTGAATTGTCTAAAGGGGATTATTATTATACAATCGTACTTTTGATTGCCAAGACTGATGCTACAAGCTTCAACTTTTATATGTAGAAGTAAAATATCACATTTGCGAATGTTAGAAAACGAGACGGTTAGGTCGAGCGAGACATCGGCGTTTCAAAACATTAGCCGACCCTACTGAAAAATATCACGTGATAAAATCAAGTGATAAAATTACATAACAAAATCACGTAATTAATGACTAAGTAAATCACGTAATGAAATGTTCCAAATCAGTACATGATTTTTGAAAATTACATGGTTTGAAAAATCACGTAATGTTAGAAAATCATGTGATTTTATAGCAATCATATTTTAAAGAGCTGAATGATAGAAATAGAAAAACGAAAAAATATACAATTTTGATTTAGATATGTTTATTAATTTTGCATGTAGTAATGGAATTACATTATGTAGTCTCGATAAATGTAGCAATAAAATTACATTGTGATATCTTAATTATATGAAAACATTTTTTTTTAATAAAACATTTTGCATATAAAAACTAAAAACATACAAAAAATTCAGGCGTTTAAGCCAGAATTGCGTGTATTCTCTATTGAAAATACCCGTTAAATTGTTTAATTGCATAATTAATAACGTTATTTTCAAGAGTTTTCATCAGTTTTCGTCAGTTAAATCGCATAACGAAATCATGTAATTTTATCACGAAGAATTTAGAAACATTTTATTAAATAACAAAAAGGCCTCCAAACATGTAATCTGTTACTTAAATTATCGCCATTTGTTTATAACATCATAATTCTCATTTATACGTAAAAAACGATTAATAAAAATACAGATTCGGCACTGGACATATATACATCATGTTATCTATATTCATAAAAACGCAAACTCTTTCAATGCTGTTAGTGTCTTTTATTATTAAATTATCAGAAATATTTACAACTTTTTTCAATGGTAAAGAATTGTTATTAAAAATATCTTCTTTAATCACTAAATGACAGATAGTGTACTCTTTCCTTGTTGGAATATCGATAATAAATTCTATAATGCGAATAAAATCTCCTTCTGTTGTTACAGCATACGAATTATCTGATCGAATCATATTTCTTCTTGATGATGTGTACAAACATCGTTCTTTTACCATTTTACGATATGTTCGACTTTCATCTGATAATTCAAGTTCTTCTTTCCACATTAAACTAGTTTTATAATGTGGTCCAAAGTATCTTGCATGCGATAATTTACATGTTTGTTTTGCGTTTTTTTTGTCCAGATAAGAAATAAAACTACTTACATTTGAAAACGCATTATGTAGTCTCGATAAATGTAGTAATAAAATTACATTATGAAAGTATGAATTACTTATTGACTAGTTCAAAATCTTAATTATATAAAAACATTTCTTTTATAATAAAACATTTTGCACATAAAAATATTAAAAACAATTGTGAAACCAAAAAAACATATATAAAAAATTCAGACTAGCGTTTAAGCCAGAATTGCGTCATTCTTTGGTAAACAATTTTCGTTAAATTGTATGTTGAATCACATAATTAATTACATGTTATTTTCGATTTTTTTGACCAGTTAAATCGCATAACGAAATCATGTAATTTCATCACAAAGAGTTTAGAAACATTTTATTATATAACGAAAGTCTCAAAAATAACATGTAATGTATCACTTAAATTATCGCCATTTGTTTATAACATGTTATAAATAAAAACGCGATTAATATATCATTATAAGCTTATTTTAGTCATCATCTGATGATGATTCATTGGAACTTGAATCATTGCTATTGTGTGAAGAACTTGATGACGCTGATGAGTTGGATGATGTGCTAAATACTTTTTCTTTGTTTTTCTTCTGCAAAACATTTTTAACATTGTTATTATTAAGACATTTTTTTATTTTTTAAATACTAAGTACTTTTGAAGTATATTGTTTTCTGATTGTTTGGTGTTTATTTGCTGAAAGGTGTTTTGATCTAAGATTCTCCTCTAAAATCTAGAATGTTTATTTATTTGTTATAATCATCTATGCTAAAAATGTTTAAAATATAAAAATTTTTTATTTAATTCAATGTCCTATATTTTACATGTAAACACAATTTTATTACTTTTTTTAAGTGAACAAAGTAGAGAAAAAAATCTATTACTTATTATTAGAAAAAACTACTATGCTTTAAGGGTTAATTTCATTATATTAATTGCCTTTACAAATTTTTCATTAAAGAAAAACAAAAAAAGATTACCTTTTAACAGATAAAAATTATTTGTCTTGACGTTGTTAAAATAATATTTACCTTTTATTTCTGTTTCAATAAGAAAATTTATGTAGATGCTCAAGTAACGTCTCCATTTATTTATCAGTTGTTTTTTTTCTTTCTTGTGGTGCATTTCGATAAAAGCTGAATAGCATTCTAGATGAAATAAGTTTTTATATTACGCTCATTTTGACGGAGTACATTAAAAATGCGAGTGTGTGAAATCCTAACTTTATTATTGGATAATGTTATTAATAGCACTATTAAGCCAAATAAATGTCTATTAGATGTCTATTAGACGTTTTTTGACCTGTATTATAATGATTTAGCTTTAATAGTGATATTAATAAAATAATCCAATAATAACTAATTCTTTACAAAGTGATTATTTTTTCTGTTATACATACTTTTTAAAACAGCTTTTTTTACCGGTGTTAGTGGCTTTCTTGGGGATCGGTTGGGCAATCTATTTTTACTTCTTTCCAACAACACAGCTCTATTCATCAATTTGTGCACTCCCCAAAGTGCTCGGCTCAATTGTCTAACAAATAAAGAAGGTCTTTTCAACTTCTTTATTTCTTTCCATGTTATATACGGTATTGAGATACCGTACCTCAAGTGCATCATTTTAATCTAAAAAAAAAGGAATTAAAATTTTTGTTATTGTTTTAGAAATTATTCTAATAATTATCGTTATTGAATTAACTTATAAATACAGATTTAAAATAATTTTAATAATTTTCAACTTATATTTAAGTTGTATGTTTCTTAAATACTTAAATTTTAATTAATCTTCTTTAATAATATTATTAATTAATAACACACATTATATATTTCTTAAATTTTAAGTTCCCAAAATAAAAAAATAAGTTCCAAAAGAATTATTGTTTTTATCAAAACGACGTACAAAAACGTAAAACAAAAACTAGTTACGTAGTAAAACAAAAAATACGTTACGAGGATGTGCGTGACAAGATAAAAATATTGAGTTTATAAGTGCGGAAAGCACACATCGCTACATTCTCGCGAATACATTAAAAATGCCTTTAGCCCGTATCAGATTGCGGATTGAAGATTAAGATTAAAGATTGAAGATTGGGACTAATCAAGAAGAAGCAATATTTGTTTGCTTCTTCCCGATTGATCAAATTCCCAATCTTCAATCTTTAATCTAAATTTTCAATGCGTAATCTAATACGGCCTTTAGAGTTCCTGCTCACAGGACGCGGAACCACTTGCCGTGCGACAAAAAACGACGCTGGAATCAAGATCACTCTTATGGAAGAGTTGTAAATTGATTGGCTATTACGATGCTTTTTGCTGCGCGGCAAATGTTTCCGCATCCTGTGGAGCTCTTAAATTTAATTTAATTTAAACAACATTTTTTACATCTAAACTTACAGTTGTTCCGCTTACTTCGTCGTTCCAAGTAGTCATATTCTCTTTATCTGTTAATCCAATATATTGATCAGAATCGTAATCCAGGTCACTTCCTTTATTCTTATTTTTTTCTTTTATCTTTCTTTGACTTTTTATTTTTTTTGCTTTCTTTCTTTGTTTTTTTTTATTACTCTTTGCTTTTTGAGTTGTTTTATTGTTTTTTGCTAAAACTTTAATACAAAAGTCATCTTGCAATAAAGATTGCTCACTCCTTAGTTGAGAAGTACTAGGTTCACTGAAAACAGCATCTTGTAAGGGAACATTAACTGTTTCACTTCTCATCTTCTTTGGAGTACTGGTTATGCTGGGTGATGCCGGACGCTTTATTTCTGTATAATTACATTGCCAAACATTGATAAAAATTATGTAAATAAAAAAACAATTTTTTTTCAAAATTAATGTTTTTTACCTTCAGGAAATAATTGTTTTTTTGTTTTCAATGAATGAAGTTTCTCTTTCAAAAAAAATATATCATTTTTCAAATTATTGTTTTCTAATTGTAATTTTTTGTTTTCATCTTGTAAAGACTGAATTTTCTTTTCTAGAGCAATTGGAATATCAAAAAGTTTTTCACGGTTCCTTTCAAATATTATATCGTCACGATTTGAAGCTTTCAACTTCTCTTTGATTATATTTTCATCACCTTCTTTCGATGTTCTTTCATTATCAAACTCCTTAAAAATTCATAATTTTTAAGAATTTTGAACATCATAAAATATGTACATTATATAAATAAAATAAAAATAATAGTATACTAGCTATAATTAAAATAATAGTTATAATTAAAATAAACAATTAAATGTTTGTAAAAATTTATAACAATACGTGATTGAAATATTACCGTTTCTTTTTGAGTTTCGTTAGGCTCTGGATTTTCTTTTTCTAATATTTCTTTTTTATCTAATATTTTTTGTACGGCATCACTGTAGCGCATTTTTTTAAAGACATAACGTTGTTTGTTATGTTTCAAGTCCTCTTCATTAGCTGCAAAGAATTACACATTAGTAAAAACGTAATAAAATCACATTATTTGCTGAAAAGAAGAAATACTTATTAGATGTATTCAGTAAAAGATTAGAATGAATAATACAATTATTGTTATAAGAGAAAGTAATATCAAAGCTACAAAAAAATAAATTACAGAATCTTTTTACATAACACATACATAATACCAAGCTAGAATGGAGTATAACAAACAAAATTTAAAAAAAATGAAAAAAATCAGTTTGTAGAAAAAAGTTTTAAAAGAAAACAAAGAATACCGCAAAAGATTTGAAGAAAAAAGAAAAGTATTAACTTTTCACTTAAAATTAAAAGTTATTATAAGAATAAATTTTGTACATACTTCCTACTTCCATAATTTGAGCTGCGATCAAACTTTCTTCATTGGTTATAGTATTCAGTCTTTTTACAAAATATGGATCTTCATACTTATCCAGAACTGTAAAATCTTTTATTTTGTCAATAGAAATAATGTGGATTTTTTTGCTCTCATCATTGAAATAACGTACACTAGCAAATTTAATTTGTGAATCCATAATACCCTATAAAAAATATTTTTTAATTACATTTTCAAAACTTGAAAAACATTTTTAACTATCATAAGAAAATGATTCAAATGATATAGTATTACATATTTATATTATGATTAATATTGAATTCATTTTTAAATCATAAATAAAAACAAAATTAAATGTTTCTTACAATGTATATAAAAAATAATCATAAACTATTTTGAATAGAGATAAATGATAACATCTCTCATGAAATCGCACAGCATACCAAAAAAACGTCTAGAAAATGTTTTTGGGATGATAGGATATCTTCTGGATATTTTCTTTGAGTGTATTTTGGATATGGGTGCTGTCTGAACTATTTTGAGAACATTATTTTAATGATTATGTAATCTAAAAAAAATACAAAAAAAAGAATTTATATTTTAATTTGCTCTATAGTTATTTTTTTAGCAACACATTTTGCTAAATCAAATGAATCACTCTTCTCACTATTCAAGTAGACTGAGAACAAAAATTTTATAAAAAATGTTTATTACTTACCTCATGTGTGCTTCTGCAATCCAATAAAAAAAACACGATTGATTTTGTTCATTATTTATCGTTCACTGTCTCTGATAAGACTCGTTACTGTTGAACGAGAATTTTTCGGTAGGAAACAGTGATCTCAGAAACAAACGTGTTGCGAATTGCTGAAATGCCGTCAATGGTTGATTCTCAGGACTCGATCACAGACTCTACATCAGTTATGTCTATGTTCATTGTTACACGGAATTTGCGCGTTATAACCTTTAAGACCCTTAAGCGCGTATCAGACAACGTATTGAAGATTGAAGATTAAAGATTGAAATTTGACCAATTGAAACAAAAGAAACTAAAAGTTCTTTATTCTGATACGTCAAATTTCAATCTTCAATCTTTAATCTCAATCTTTAATACGTCGTCTGATACGGGTTTTACAAAATGCAAGAGAATAGCGATAGCAATAAAATTAATCTATAAACATAACAATAAGAACAAAAAATCCACATTTGTGAATGCATATATCGATGCAATGCGAATAGAAATACGGAACAGGTAATAGCGATGAAATTTTCGTCGAGAATTCTGTGTCTATCGCCTTATAGTCTGTGCTATTTCTGTCGCTATCGCTATTCTCTTGCATTGTGTTTCCCGTTTTAACGACAAAAAGTCGTCATTCTCGTTCATGACCGTTCATGTGTATTTTGTTTGTTCTTCTTCTCTTCTTATTATAATTATATAAATATTAATAACATATAATGCGGAGGTATCATAATTACCTCGAAAAAAAATTTCTAAAAGTGCCAAGAACGAGTCAATACAGGAGAAATATAGAATGTGAATCAAGTGATGAAAGCAGTGATAACAGTGTCGAAGATGCTCAATGGCGAGTAAGTATTATACAGATTTCTAAAAATATTTAAATGGCTATTCTTGTAGTGTAGAATATAAAAACATTTTGCATCATAATTATATTATTTTATTGCTTTCATTTAGGAATACTGTAATCGTCAATCATCCAGTGATAGCGACAATACAGATTCTGATAACACAAGTCAACATAATAGTATTTGCCTATCATTCTCCAATGAAGCATTGTTAGCAAATATTAGAAACAATGAGCAACTTACAATTAGTTCTGACTTATCATTGCATTTAGTACAAGACCAGCACATGGAACTCGTACAACATAATTATCATGAATCTTTATCAACACATGAAGATCCATTTATTGAGCAAAATAACGATCAACAATCATTGTCAGCATTAGAGCAAGTTAGTGTACAATACTTTATACTAAAGGTACGTTCCACTTGGCGATCGCAACGCTTGTGGAATCATTTTATCTTTGTTTTTCATCGAAAGTTAAAGAAAGATAGATAATGTTCACGAGCGTTGCGATCACCAAGTGGAACTCAGCCTACAAAATTATAAATTCTTATAAAAAACGCACTTAGCATTCATTATTAACAGATATTTGCATTTTTTAAGTAGTATGCAGAGGCAGACATCAATATTTAATTGTATTTCTACAATTTGTATTTCACACATTGTATTTCTATACTTTTTTATTTTGAATCTTTATAAATACTTGATATGCATAAAAAAGATTTTTCAGAAAAGTTTTATTCAATTTAATTAGCTTCACTTTTGTGTATAAAAGACATTAAACAAAATTCTTATTATTCTAAATATAATATTTATAGTTTTTTAATTATAA